CGTTATTTAAAAATTTGTTAGTGTGCACCCCATGCGGAAATAGTGATTATTTTGTAAAATACTGATTCTAAAGGTAAGTTTTTATTATTTTTAGATAAGTAATATGTTCAGCTATTGTTATATTTAGAGCCAAACTGATAAATCATGAATTTTAAATGTTTTGTTTGGTGGCCGGTAAACTGGCTTAATTAAAACTGTCAAACCATTTCTCGACCGAGGTGGCCGAGAGCCGGTCTTAAAAGCAAAATATGTTTGTCTTCGTTTGTGTCACGACTTGATAATAAGTCGTAACCATTTTACCGGCGTATGTAAGACAGTTAGTACTACAAAATAGCCAGTTTTCGGCCGGGCTATCTAAAAAAACGCGGCAAATAAAAAAGTTTAAACTAGCGACCGAGAAAAGGTAAATTGGCCCTTTCTCGGCCATTAACTTTAACTTTAAAGGTTTGATTTGTTTTTAATTATTTTGTATCTAACTACGTGTTCTTTTAAATAAATTTGGAATCCCCAAAACTGAAAAATATAATTTGACGCAAAATACTTACTAAATTATTCTTTTCCAGATGGCCACCACTAAGCACAGCAAAAAATTAAATATGTCAACGCAGGCAAGAAAACTGTTCCGGTACTCGGAAGAAAATTTAATGCTTGCACTAAATTCTGTAAGAGAGGGCAAAATGAGCACAAGAACGGCTGCGAAACATTATAGTGTGCCCAGGACCACTCTCCAAGACAGGGTGTCGGGGAAAACCCCAGACAATTTACGTAAAACGGGCCCAGAGCCAATCATGACTGTCGAAGGAGAAAAACGCATTAGGGATTGGGTCATAAGTCTGGCCAAGTGTGGATTCCCAATAAAAAAGCAAGAACTAATAGAAACAGTAACTAAAATAGCAACAGAAAACGGAAAAATTGAAAAATTCAAAAATGACAGGCCTGGAGAAAAATGGTATATGTGTTTCATCAAAACGGCACCCAGAAATACGATTACGTGAGTCCGAGAGTATTAACAAAGCGAGGGCAGTCATCACGAAAGAATATATTAAGTCCTGGTTTTCAGAACTAGAACAGTTCTTAAAAGAAAACAATATTATGGATATCATGGAAGACCCTTCCCGAATTTTTAATGGCGATGAATCAGGTTTTTCATTGTGTCCGAAAACCGGAAAAGTTCTTGCTCCCCGTGGATATAAAAACGTTTATTCAATTAAACAAGGCAACGAAAAAGAAACATTAACAGTGCTCGTAACATTTAATGCCAGTGGTAATATATGTCCTCCACTTGTTGTTTTTCCTTACGTGAGGCCTCCGAAAGCATTGATAAATAATATGCCAGAGAATTGGGTGCTGGGAAAATCTGAAAGTGGGTGGATGAAAAGCGACGTGTTTTACGAATATATCTGCAATGATTTTAACCAGTGGCTTAAAGACAATAATATTAAGAAGCCAATAATATTGTTTATTGATGGACACAGATCACACCTTAATATATTTCTGAGTGAATTTTGTGAAAAAAATGGAGTAGTTTTGTATGCACTTCCTCCAAACACTACTCACATCCTACAACCGGCTGATGTTAGTGTGTTTAGGCCATTAAAACATGAATGGAAGAAGACCATTCGACTATGGCAAAGTGAACAAGACGTGAATACCGCTGTCACAAAGATAAATTTTTGTCAAGTATTTCAGCAGGCGTTAGATAAAGCAGATATGCAACCATATGTATTAAAAATGGCTTCCGAAAGTGTGGCTTGTTTCCTTTGAATCCAAACAATGTTGACTACACTAAATGTGTAAAAAATGAATTAGAAAGAAAACACGATAGCATGGAGCATGCAGAAAAAATAAGCTGTGAGGAAGCCCAAGCAGCAAAAAAAGTCATTAAAATTTTAGAAAAGAAATTAAAAAATAGTGGTATTAACACGGACATAATTTATAAAGCAATAAATGATATAACATTTGGTGTTAACAATGACGGAAATGTGAGACAAGAACAAAAAAAGATACATGTTATAAGCAATATTACCATCAATAAGCAGGATACGATTGCGGATAATCTAATAATCTAATAATCTAATCTAATAATCTAAATACTGACAAATATGATGCTTGTGAAATGAAAGCGTTGAATGGCGATTGTGCTCGTTATTGTACTATAGAACAAACTAATAATGGCGAACAGAAACTGACAAAGAAAGCGTTAATATTGAACAAAAGGTTGAGCAGGACAAAGACAAAACTAAGGAGAAATCGGAAGAACTAAAGGAAAATATTGATCCAGATAGTCAAAACGACAAAAGTAACATTGAAGGAATGGATGAAAATGACTCAGTAAATGATTAAAAAAACGAACAGCCAGAAAAGGAAAATGAATATACCACTAAAAATAAAACAACGGGAAATTCATATAAAGAAGAAGAAGAGAGATTTGTGAAAGAGAAAGGCAAAATGCATGAAAAATCTGAACAAAAAAAAGAAATTACCGATCTAGATGTTCAAAATGAAAAAGATGACACTACACAGAAAAATGAAACAATAAATGATAAATTGGAGCAGGCAGAAGAAACAGAGGTACCAGCTTATAAAAAAGAAAGAGACAAATTTAAAGACGCAAGAGAACGAGCAAAGTAATAAAACGAATTGGCAGAATTAAAAACAAAGAAAGAGATAAAGAAAAATGTGTATCGATAAATGTCGAAACATTTTATACGAAAAAGGAAGTAAGAAACGCCATTAAAGATCTACAAAATCTACAAACTGAAGCTGAAACTAAGGACTACGCACCAAAATGGTCCCAAGAAAAAACCCCTACAAAAACTGTGGAAGTTAAAGAAGTGTTAAGCCCATTTTCTCGGTCATCTCAGATTTCCGGAGCCTATAAAAAAAGGTTCGGAAAATAAAAAGAAAGAAAAATTGCCGAGTGCTATCTCGTCCAAAGCGTGGAGAAAACATATCGAAAAGCAAGAGCAAGAGAAAAAGAACAAACAAGAAGCGCAACAGAAGAAAAAGATGAAAGAAAGGAAAAACAAAGTACAAATAGTTCGAAAAAAAATAAAACAGCAAAAAAAAATGTATCCAAGAAATTGAAACTGATGTGTTCTCTTTGCGAAGACGAATTAATAAGTGATACAGAAAATGATTTGTTGAAAAACTTAGGTTGTGATATATGCCCTAAGTGGTTTCATTTAGCTTGCACTGAGTTATCTCATTTATCGTATGATGAAGCTGCAATCAAAAATTTTGTATGTAGTTCGTGCAAATGAGTTTAAAGACAATCAATGCAACTTTAAAAGTATTACTACTGTTTTGAAGAATACCTATACTTATTTTTGTTTAGTTTCAAAGTGTTTTTTGTATTTGTTAGTTTTAAAAATGTTAGTGTATGCTTGAGCATATTTTACCGCTTACATGCAATAAAGTTGCTAGGTATTTTGTTATTATTTTCTACTTTTATTTCAATGTTTAATTAACATGGTCGAAAAAAAGGGGGTTTTCGGCCACCCGACCGAAAACCGGCATGTCCATGGCCGAGAAAAAAACCACGTGGCCGAGAACTGGCAAAAAGCACATTTTTAATATTTTATTTAAGGAAAGGAAACTAAATAGATTTCTCATTTTGAATGGACATAAATTAGTTTAGTATACTACAGGCTATCAGATAAAATGATCAAATTTAGAATTAAAATCAATCAGGTCTTTTTAAACGTCGGTTTAATGGAAAATTCAGTTAAGTGGCCGACAACTGGGCAATCACCCTAGTACAAAAACCAATTTTGAAAATAAAAATCTTTATTGCACATTTCTAGTTGATAAAACGTTTCAACTACAGAGAGTTGTAATTAATGTTTTTCATATTAATTTTATTTGGATGTTGATGCATGGCACTGCATATCATCCACAAGTGTAGACGAATATTTAAACTTGAATTTTTACATACAGTTTAAAAAGAATAAAGGTTCTACGTGCCATTGAAACCGAGATACTGCAGATGACAGTGCACTCCTCCACTTTTTCGTGGCGGTATTTTACGAGTACCAAGAACACGATATGGACGAATACATTTTGCTCCTTTGGTGTATATGCCATGTATAAGTTTGATCATTAAATTAGGATCGTTATTTAGAACCTGTTCAATTTTCAATTCCTAATATTAATGAATAACGGAAATATGATTAAAAAAATTCTATCTTGTTTCCTTTTGGTCATAGAAGGTTGTGTTTCTCTACAGAAAGTGTGTTTTTCACCATCTTTTTATTGAGCCTACCTACAAGCGTATGACATAAAAATCGTTTGCATTTTAAAATCAAGTTTAATAAAACGTTAAAAGTTTTCTTTAATACACCTTAAAATTAAAGCCTTCAAAAATAGATTTCCGTTAAAAATACGTTGCAAAGTCACTGTTTGGACAAGTATAGTTGTTTAAATATTCTCCTTGCGGGATACCTAAACAAATTCAATAAATTATTAAACTATTTGACCGATCTTTTTAAAATTCAACACAGTTTAATGTTGCATTAACTGCCACTATTTGGAGTAGGTATATTACATGTCATGTTCTTATGCAAAACACAAAGTTATTAATACTTATAATTTACTGCAAAAATTAGGTGTTATCTAAATTATCTAGTTTTTTCAATTGTTTATGCATTTTACTGTTAAAATTCTTGATAATAAAATAGTTTTTATAATCGACAAAAAAAAACTACAAAAAATCTATAAAAACCAGTTTTGCGCAAAAATATATTTTTTTACTTTTTAGGTTAAAAAAAATAAAGCAAAATCACCTGTATGTCTTAACTGATTTTTAAGCTACCCCTTATATATCTTTTAGAACCTTCAAAATATCTGTATTATATTTTACGTGAAATCATAGAGGAGAACACTGAAGACCTAACATCTTAGAGCTCATATGCGTGTATCAATACTTAAAGATAAGCATTTGTAGATTTCTACAAAAATTTAGACTTATTTTACCTTTTAATAATTTTTTACTTTTTTAGGTAGCAATGTTAGACATTGAGGGAATGGGATTAAATTTTGATAATTTATGGAATAACCATGGCTCAGGACTATCTTTTGGTGGCACTTTGGTGATGTTATTGGTTGACATAGTATTGTATGCTACAATAGCCTACTATCTTGACAATGTAATTCCAAGTAGGTACTATTTTTGTATCACTTAAATTTATTAAATTAGTTTTTTCACATTATAACATAACAAGAATGCAAAATGAAGAATAATTTTAACATGTAATGTACAATATAATGAAGAATATGGAAGTCTAATAAAAAAATAAGGAATAAAAAATTAAAAAAAAATGGAAATTGCCTCAAATATTAATATTAGAACAATGCCATAATATATATAAACAATCTTTATCGTTAATAGAAGCTTGAGTAGCCATTGGTGCTACTCAAGCTACAAGTTATAAGAACTTGATTGGTGCTAGGTTTTGCAGAATACTTGTTTTATGTAAAATAGTGTTATTATAAGATATATTATAAGGAATCCCAATATTAGAGATTAAATTATAATTTTAAGTTGTACTTTATAGCAAGTTTAAAAAAAGTGGTGTGAAGAACAAAATAAACAATAATGTGTCAACAAATAATATTTTGTGATTGAAAATTTATTTATACGTTTTAGGCGCATATGGTGTAAAGAGGTCACCATTTTTCTTTCTGATGCCATCTTTTTGGGTATCCAAACATAATCAGGTAAGGGTTTCTATTTTTATGTATCTGTTATCTGTTTAATGTTTATGTATCTGTTATCTGAAAATAAACATTAAAAAAAACCAAAGTGATGTCAATCCGAAAAAGCCAAAACGTGCCTCAACCTTGCACAATAAATGGGCACATTTTAGAACAGGTCAATAGATTTAAGTACCTGGGATGTTGGATCGATAGCAGCCTAAATATTGATCTAGAAATAAGATCGAGAATAGAGCAGGCCCAAATTTTGGCATATGCAGATGATGTGGACCTAGTTGCCCTCACAACATGCAAGCTAGAAGAAATGCATACCACCTTCTCAAATGCCTCAAAATCTATGGGCCTGCAAGTAAATGAGGAGAAAACTAAGATGATGGCATTAACACCCAACAATAGAGTCAGGAACATCGGTCCCCAATTCACAGTTGATAACTCTACCTTTGAAGTGGTGGACAAATTCACATACTCAGGTTTCCTGATCACCAAAGAGAACGCCATAACGAAAGAAATCAAGGGAAGGATAATAATGGCAAACAGGTGCTATTTTGGACTAAGTAGACATATGAGAAGTAGAAACTTAAGTCAAAAAACCAAAATAACCATATACAAAACCCTTATATAGCCAGTGTTGATATATGGGTCGGAGACATGGACCATCTCCAAGGCAGACGAAGATCTTCTGCTTATATTTGAACGAAGGATCCTGAGAGGAATATTTGGTGGCATCTGTGAAAATGGTGTTTTAGAGGAGGAGATACAACTACGAGGTATACCACAGATATAAACAAATATTTGGTGGTAAAGACGTACTACCTCTTATAAGAATAGGAAGACTAAGATGGGCAGGACATGCTACAACCCGTGCTACAACCCGTGGGAAGTAGAAAAAGGTGTAGGCCAAAACTCAGATGGAAGGTTGGTGTAGATGAGGATGGTAGAAAGCTAAACGCATCAAACTGGCAACGGTTGGCAATGGATAGGACTGCCTGGCGTAATAGACTTGGGAAGGTCGAGGCTCTTTCATAGGGCTGTAGTACCATTAATGATGATGATGATGATGATGATGATGATGATGATGATGATAGAACAGGATAGAAAATATTTCGAAAAAATAAAAAAAGAAGTGCTGCATAAAATAGGCAAGGAAAGAGAACTTTTTAACATAGTACAAGTTAGAAAAACATCATACCTAGGCCACATACTGAGAAATAACAAGTACCAATATGCCCAACTTATAGTGAAAGGAAAAATCGAGGGAAAGAGAGGCCTAGGAGGAAAAAGACTATCGTGGCTCAGAAACATCCGACAATGGACTGGGCTAAATTTTGAACAGCTAATAAGAACAGCTGAAGATAGAGAAGAGTTTAAAATTTTGGTAGCCAACCTCCATTGAGGAGAGGGCACTTTAAGAAGAAGTTATCTGTTTATTTGTTTCTATATATGAATATATATTGCTATATAGATGTAAAGTAACACCTATCGATCGTGTGACAGAAAAGAGCGCGACTGTTCCCTGGTTAACCTTTTTCAAAGCCAAAGCCAAAGCCAAAACGTTCGTTATAGTAAATATTTGCTTATAAGCAAAACTCTGCAAGAATTTAGATAATTTTTAACATCTCAGTATTTTTATATTACTTAAATTGAAAAATGTTTAATATGTGTTATGTATGAAGGATTAATTAGATTTATGTATTTAATTACTTCATAGATACAAATATTGTTTGTAGCCAGTCAAAAATACAAAGTAGTTAAATAAAAAAGGAAAAATATACAACGTAACTTAAAACATAACAAACAAGAAACAAGATTAACAGAAAATAATTTATGGCAAAGTCATGGTAAGCAGTTTAGTGGATGTTCTGCAATAAGTCATAACATATTCTCCTGAGCAGTAAAAGCAATATTTTAGCAGATATTTTTTTATAACTTCTTCAAAACTATTACAGCTTAGCTGTTTAATATTTTTTGGTAAAATATTGTAATAGTTATCTCTCTCTTATCACTTCGGAGGTCGCGGTCATAAACTGTACTGTATAAGTCGCGATGTATCTCAGAGATACATTCGTTTAAGTTTAATGTTTCAATAAGCTTAAAAGAAACTGATCGAGATAGAAGAAGCGTTTATTTTGAACATAACTAATCAAAAAATAAGCGGATTTAAATTAATTTATTGTCAAAAAAAAATATAAGTAAATGTAGTATTAAGAACATAACAAAATAAAAAACACATTATAAATATTATTATTGTTACTAATCTAAGGCAAAAATAACAAAAACACATAATTAGATTTAGCTAAACTTAATCAGATTCATCAGCGGATGGATTAGTAAAACGATTATAACAACTGTTGCATACAATATTGCTATGTTCAAGACATAAAAATTTGGTACAATATTTAGAATACTATTTGGACAAAAGCAAGAAGAACACCTTTTTCTTTTATTGCAAGTTTTAAAAACATCGAACCCCCTCTGTGGCTTAGTGGTAAGAGCGCGTACCTTTGAACCTAAAGGTCGTGAGTTCGAATCTCACCTGGGTGGAGAAATTTTCGTTTATTAAAAATTAATAAATGGAAATAATTTCTATCCTTGTGCGATCGGTACTCACCAGAGGGACCGCAGACGTTCGGATACAATTAGCGTCTCTTAACAAAGACAATGACGTCGACTTTGCTAAGTATCAAGACAATTACTCTACACACACACTACACTCTACATTAGGTACCTGACTGTAAAAATTCACTGTACCATGCCAATGACCATTAGTTGTCGACGCATTAAACTCAATAAAAAAAAACATCTTGATCTGTCCTACTGGTTGAACTTGCCTCCTTATGTTTCTGAAGCTAAAGCTGCAATCGTATGTGAATACCTGTAGTAATATTCGATCGTACATATTTTATGTGCTCTGACAATAACTGACTTGAAAAATTTCGAATGAAGAGTCTACGTCGTATTTTTGAATTCTTATTTAGCATGGAAATGGACTGCACATTGATTTCAGTAATGTTCAAGACGACGTTAAATATCACCGTAGGCCACCTTCTGCTGTTTTTGCGGCTACATTATACGAACCAAACAGTTAGTCTACAGTATCAACCCTAATTTGTAATAATTGATTATCTCTGACTTTACTACGTCATGTGCGTATCTGAATTTACTACGTCATCGAAGTGCATAATTACGTTTTTTCCTTCTTCGGCACATGCGATACAAGAGTACAACATTTACTAAAATCAAAACAGTTAGATTGTATTGGTCTATTTGCCGTACTCACTAATTCAGGTGGTAGTTGACGTTTGTTTCTTCTGACTGTCCCTAAGTATGATAGTCTGTTCTTTTTCAAATCGCTGACGAGAGTAAGATCGGTGAACCAATTATCAGCAGTGATATTTCGTCCTGAATTATAGATAGGTTCAGCTAATCTCTTGACCACATCTACTGGTTTATTGCTGACACAAAATGGACCTTCAGGCTGCAGTTCTGCATAAATTTCTATATTGCTTGTGTAAAAGAGCTTAGAATAAACCATGGAAAAAATTTTAATCCCATATTTGTTAGGTTTTGATGGGTATTGCCACAGTCACCTTTACTTCCAAGCCATGAAGTAAAAAAGGCAACACCGCATTCTATGACGTCGGTAGTCCGATAATCAACTGTAAGGTCTACCAGAATATTAAACTAATTTGAATTTTAGGAAACTGATATTTTGAAAACTTCAATTCATTACAGAAATATTTTTAGGGAAATTAAATTAATAAAACCTTATATATACCTAGTAAATATATATAAAGTTTTATTATTATTTAGGTTATATTATCAATAAAATAATCACTAGAGTAAAATTTATTGCACTTAAAATACAGTGTCAAACAGTTAATCTTACAATCAAATGCAGTCAAGAATCTCTAGAAATTTTAAATATTAAGTACCTAAGCATATAAATAACACAATACATTAACACGACATTTAAAAAGATTATTAAAAATACAAAAGATATAAATTTGTGCTAAGTAAAAACTTAGTGTAACTATTATGATTAAAAAATTCATCCTAAGAAATCAGACACAATATAAATATGGTTCTAAATTAATCTAATTGAAAATTAAATATTTTACTATTTACTTATAACTTTTGTTGAATTTTCATACTTTAGTATACAAAAGTAGCAATTTTAAATATGAATAGGTTTGTTGTCATATAGACCAAAGTTAAAAGAGGTATACATGAAAAATGTGTTGAATGTAACATACCATTTATAACTGTATATCGATTTAAAATAGCCTATATTCTCAAAAGATTTTTGAATGTAATACTCCAATTTGTTATCACTTATCTAAAAAGCAGATCTAAATGAGAAAGTAAGTTCTCTAATTGTGACCATCTTGTTAATTTAATATATTGTAAAATCCATTTCAAATCATTACCACTTAATCTATTCTTACCTACATTAACGATTACACTAAAATTACTGCTAACTATTACACTACATATTACACAAATATTATCACACTTGTGTTCCAACTGATTAATGTTTAATACATAGAAATATACACAGTCACTTGTAATTTTACTTGTCCAGTTTTTCAATGGGATATTATTGTCTAAGTCTAATTGACATAATTATGTTATCTCTTGTTCCCTCTTCTTATGCAAAAAGTTTCTTCTGTCTTCGGGATTCCTTCTTTCTTTAGTACGATGAACAGTTACATATGATGGTACTTCAGGAAATATATAGGAACTGCCTTGCCTTTTAATTTGGGAAATATTAACTTTTCAATGTTCATGAAAATGTTTGGCACATACTACGGAAGATTTGGTAATTGTACAGCCTTCTCTATGAATAGAGCATAACGCCAGTATACCTTCTTTGGGGATCTTTGGAAACAAAAACATACTTTCTGCCTGTTTCGTTTTTAAAGTACTGGCATAATTGGTTTTGCAACCAGGTACACAACAATGCCAGAGCATCTGTAACAAAAACAAAAGTATTATTATTGTTGTTTTTAGTTTACATATTTTGTAACAAGAAGCAAAAGTATTATTATTTTCAGTTTGTTTTATAGGTTATATTTATACTTGCCTTTTAAATTGTCGTTAAGAATCTTCTAAAAGTTCTAAATTTAATGAAATTTTACTTATATTAATATTTTCTAATTGATTTTAAACAAATTTACAAATAAAACATTCGAATAAAGTTAAAAAAAACAATATATTCAACAAACTTTACAAGCCTTCCTATATGAAATGTTAAACCAAAACAAACCACAGTCGGACTACCACGCGTTGTTGCCAAATTTCTACTTCATGGCTTGGAAGTAAAGGTGGCTGTGGTATTGCCTAAATCCCCATCTGTCCCGAAAGCTTGCCAACATCTCGTCTATAGTTACGTTTTGTCCCATAAAGTATTATTTTTTGCAATTTTTTTACAAATAGTTAAAAGATTTGTCTAACAGCTGACAATTTATCAATCTTTAGTCGATCTGGTCGAGTCGTTTTGTCATCGAATTGTATACAATTGTGAATAAATTTGAATCTTCACATTAAGATCGTAAGTCTAAATAATTCAATTTCACTACCATCTGTTGCCATAAATCTTTCAACTTTAGTCGATTACTGCGATGTAAGCCAGTAAAATTAAATTTTAAAGTTTTTCTGATACGAAACAGCTCCAGCATTCATATTCAGTTTTGCGTTTTTTGCAGTATTCCTTACTAGAAGCAATTGAGCATAGAATATTTTGTTTCTGTCGCCTATATTTTATTTCCGTAAACTGACTTTTTTCCCACTTTGTTACTTTGTCTTTTGCGAAAAAATACTCACGTTTTCATATACGTTCTCTTTGCTTTCCTCACTAGAAATGTCTTTGTTTTCTGTCCTAGTTTTCTGATCGCTCTTCGACATAATCGATTTCGTCCACGTCACTTTCGTCTTCAAACTCATTTCTTTCATTTCCATCGTCAGAATCGAGAAACATACTCTGAAGCTCTTCAACATCCTTTGGTTCATCCAACTTATATACCTTTTTCGACATTTGGAATAAAGTATAGATCACACAACGAAATAAACACGAAAAAATATAGGTTAGATCTGCGAGATCGTGGGTATCTGTCAGATACAACTGTTGTTCGGTTACGACAAACGTTCACTTCTCAACCGCTAGAAATTACCTGAAAGCGAAAACCGACGTTGTGTGTTTCCTCACAATAGTGTACAGTCTCGGAACCGGATTGATACTATGAAGACCACTACGGCAAGAAATAAGGGACAAGCGAAAAACATCCAAAACCAGACGAGAATTACTTGGAATATCAGATCACTCAACTCAAGGGACCAAGAAATAACCTAAGTGTTGAAAGAAAAAGAAATAGACATTTATGCTCTACAGCAAACAAAAAATAAAGGAAAAGGTCAATCAAAATTAGGTGAATCCATACTAATCTACAGTGGAGTAGCAAAAGAAAACAGGGCCAAAGAAGGTGTAGCCTTACTAATACACCAAATTAATTAATATCAAACTTTAATATTAATTAATTTACAATGCCACAAGAAAATAGCTTCAGAACAATAATACACCAAAGGTATCAAAATTACATCAAAGAGTGTCAATACATATCAGAAAGAATAGTAACATCAAAGATAAGAATGGAGAAGGAAAACCTGAACATTATCGGAGTATACGGCCGGAAAATAATAAGCCTAAAACAACAAGGGAAGTGTTTTACGGACCAATTACAACAAGTAGTAGATCAAGTCAAAGAAAAGATGATAATTCACAGTTAATTTGATTATAATAATTAAGGAACCTCATTGATGCCATGTTAAGGAATGGGATTTGTATTTTTTGTTAAGAAATTTGCACAAACATTGTACCTTTACAGGACCCTCTACGAATTTTTAAAAAATGTAGTTCAAATGGTGACTAGGAAGAACTTACAAATCCATACCGAACAAGCAATTTCAAACTAGTAAAATTTTCTATATCTCCGGATCTACTCAATGAATTTGGGTCATTCTTTTTTTAATTTGTATGTAATTTCTACGTACATTAGAAATTAGTAATTTGTTTATATATTAATTGATTAATAGTCCAGTTTGTTTAAACAATTCGTGCAAAAAACAATTTTTTCAAAAATCTATTTTTTTTTAATACTAGTATCAATAATCATAGAAACAATCGCGTTTTTTGCATTAAATTGTCAATAATTAAAAAAACAGCTCCAAATTCAAGGCAAGAAACAAGTAGGTTTTGTTCCTATAGGTCTACAATAACTAAAACGTTGTCAGCGACTAGATTATTGAGTGTCACGAACAGGGTCTATATTTTGCTTATTTCCTGGAGTATATATTTAATTAATATCTGTGTAATTTCTTTGTCGCTACCTCGCTGGTTTTGTATATTGCTATGATAGCATATCTTCGGTAAATGTTCCAATTGTATATTTTCTAGGACAATAATATAACACGTATACAAAAGGTAAAGACACTTTTTTGTGGCAGCACTGCTGTAATATCTTTCAATTCCGTGTATGTTTCTTCCTGTTTAATTCTGAAATATCTTTCCAAGATGCAGGAGTCAATTATTTGAGAGTATCGTTTTGATAAATGCAGTCTTAGTTTATAGTTATGGCGTCTTTGCCATACTTTATCATATACCTAAGTCACAGCCTAAATTATAGATATAAGGTTGAATGCTCGAATAAATGAACTTTAAAAAATAAAGGCAAATTTCGAGCACAAATTTAATAATCAATCCTTGCCCACGTCCTTTCGCTTTCTACAGCATCATCAGGGGCATCTGCGCTTGCTGGATAGCCCAAATTTGACGAAGTAAGTCTAAATGTTAATCACAAAAAACTTTTATCATCCATTAACTTCGAGTTTTTTATCGAAGTTTATTTTCTTCATTTAAAAAAACTTTTCTTGGCTTATTTCAGATGCCCCTGATGATGCTGTAGAAAGCGAAAGTACTTGGGCAAGATTTGATTATTAAATTTGTGCTCGATATTTGCCTTAATTTTTCAACTTACATCCTAAAATGTCCATCATATTATCCTTCATGATCCATATTTCACATCCATATAAATAGTTATACAGTATATTTCATCATCATCAATGGCGCTACAACTCTTCGTAAGTCTTTGAAGCTGTTACTATTGTCTTCCATGTTTTGTCGGTCCTGTGCCAGTAATTCCCATTGTCGCACTCCCATTTTTTCTAGATCTAGGAGTATATTTACATATAACAATTAAATTCTTAGTTGTAAATTTTTAAAATAAGTACTCAGTATACATCTAAGTTTCATAAATGCTCCTCATAAATCTCATAAATCTAAACTTTTGTAATCCGTTCTTTGTTGATAATTAGTTGCATAGGGCCGACGTTTACTAACCACAAGCACACAAGTAAATTATCTTATTTCTTTCATTTGACAATAATAATTGTCTGTAAGATTAGCATTGTAAGAAGTAAATTAGTCTCTTAATCAATGATAATAAACAATACATCAAACTTATTCTGAAACTATTTCTTGTGTCATATTATATTTTATTAGATTTTGGTGTAATAAACCACAACCTATCAAATTCAATATCAAAAATCAAAATTGGAAATAATAGCGTGACTAAATTATTCCTTCCTTCAAGAAATTTTAAAAAGAACTGATTCCTATTACTATCCAGTGCAAGGACAGTTATTTTATTATTTATATCGAATAGAGATAGTTAGTTTGCGGTATGGGCCCCAAAAAATATTTTATTCGAAAAGATTGATAAATATATGGAACTGTGGGAAAATATGCTACAAAAATTTCAAGATTTTTATTATAATTTTTATTTGAAACACCTTCTGAAGAAACATAAGGGATAATTCTATATTTATATAGTTTCATTTTATCAATTTTAATGATCGTGATACTAATCAGATACGATTTTTATATAAATTTATTTGAAACACTTCTGAAGAAAACATTAGACATAATTCTATATTTATATCGTTTCATTTTATTAATTTTCAATGATCTTGATACTAATAAAATTTTTATGATATATAATAATAATCTTTTTTTATAATTTTTATTTTCCGTAAATTCTAATCTACGTTAAAATTCAGACAGCCAATTTTTCCTTAAAAAAAATAACAAACAAATTATGTATTTACATTTGTTACATTGTAAATTTATGAATAGATTATTATTACTTTGATCTGTTATTATATTTACTCAAACACACCACTAAAGAGATTTATGGTTTTATTATAAGCCAATACCTATCACTGCAGGGGTTGTCCCGGTGTATAATCGGCTCGAGTAAAGGATAAACGCATTTTTGACCTGGGCTTGAGAGAGATATCTAAACGAAGTTTAGAATATTAATTCATGAACAGATTTTGTTTTCGTAAAGAAAGAAATTTTTGAAATAGAGATAGCAAACTGAAATTTACCGTTAGGATTTTCGAGGATGAGCCTTAAGACATAAATGTGAAGCTAGACAGTGCCGTAGAATTTATACGATGCACTTGTTTCAAATATTTTATAGGAATATTTTCAATGTATCTCTCAGATCAGCCGCGACTTTCCGATGGTTAATGAAGAAAACTTTTAATACAATTTCTATTGTTTTTCCTTTTCAGATGCCTCCCAACCAACTTAACCCTGAAAGTTCTGCAGATGTAGAGCCAGTGCCACGGCAAATGCAAGATCAAGAAGCGATCAGAATTACGAACTTGAATAAAAGTTTCAGGGTAATATTTTTATATTAATAAAATAAAAATAGTTTTTTGTAATATTTTTATGAGATGGTTTTTACAGTGTCACTGTAAAGTGTAAATAATTTAGAATATTCGGTATATCCAGAAACCTCATATTCTAATTTACAGATATTAATAATTGTTAAGTTTTCTTAAAACATTCTAATTAGAAATCTTAAAAAATTTACATATATTCAGATTAAGATATAAAATATATTATATACCTGTTTTGTTTTAATATTCACAGAATTGCCGAAAACCAACCGTTACTGCACTTGATGGTATAAATTTGTCGATATATAAAGGCCAAATCACAGCAATTTTGGGTCATAATGGTGCCGGAAAGACTACGCTGTTTAATATTTTGACTGGATTGTCCTCACCTACTAGTGGGAGTGCTTTTGTTTTTGGCTATGATGTCAGGTAAGGAATAAAGCAGTATCCTAAATCTTCTTATATTAATACTAACAGTATTTTATTTGTAAACTACCTATTTATTTAATAAGTTAATGTGATTAGTTTTAGGTCATGTCCCTTGATTCCGGCGTGATGTGGTCTTAGAATCACATGTCCAGGTTCTATATATAATACTGGTCTGTTCGCCAACATCGCTTTAGTCGTCTGTTAACTTGATGTTAAGGTTTTCCGGAAATTAGTGGATTGGAGTGTGTGTTCACTGTTTAAATATATTGTGATTTCTTTTGCTGGATTATTTCTTTTACTGTTGAAATGTTCAGATTCTCGTAAATTCTTTGGTTGGTTACGTATCAGGGTACATTAACAATTGCTCTTAAGATTTTTATTTGACATCTTTTCATTATAGCAACATAGGCTGTTTTGTTGCCAAATTTGTTTAAACATATTTACCGGCTCTTTTGTAATCCTATGTTTAGCAATAATGGTGTTCCTTACCTTGTGACGTCAGTTCTTCTTTGATATCTTCTGTTAAATCTAAATGGTGAAGATACAATTAGGACTCTGTAAGCTCTTTCTTCCTTTGGTTGGTATGTGTGATGGATAATTATAATAATATGATGGATATGTTTGATGAAATAATAGATGAAGATGTTCTCCTATATATCTTCATAATTTTTTACATATTTCTGGGTTGCTACAATTTATTTTGACTGTATTATTTGCCAGTAGGGGGTTCGGCAACGTGGCGCGGAGTTGAAGATTTTTGTTTTATTTTCTGTCTGCGATAACCCGAAATTCGAGAGTTGCAACGGAAATAATTCAATACGTTGTAGTGAGAATTGAGATAACTGAATAAGGTAACAACTGTGCAAAATAAACACCGAAAACTGCAAAAAAAACAATAACAAAGTGAATAATCGGATAAGGGAAAAAAGCGAGGTTAACTGATAAGAACTAACACTGGGAAGGAAGCTACGTTTAATTGAATTGCGACGTTGCAATGTGTGCAAAGTTTCGTGTTTGCCACGGAATACAAAATTAGTCGAGACTTCGAATAGGGGATTCAACAGGAAGTGGTACATACTGTTTCTTCCGAGCTGTTGAAGCGAGAGATAGTGTCTGGCGCCAATCAGAGTTGAAAGTAATCCGCGAAGTAAAAAAAAGGAAAAGCATACAAGGATGGAAAAATATCTACAAGGTAAAACGTATATGGACAGTGACGATACAACAACAGATGAAGGAGCAAAAAGAAAGAATAGAGGAGAGGATGATGAGCAAGAGGAAGAGAGATCCAGAAAAAATAAAAAACTAACAAGAACCCTCAGAAGACAGGAGGAAAAGAGGATGGAGCAAAACTTGATAAATTGCTAGAAATGATGAGCAACCTAACCAGCGACATTAGACAAATAAAAAAAGACCAAAAGGAATACAAGGAGGTAGTTGAACATCTAATAAGGGAAAACAAGGAAATAAAGAATGATAATAAAATTCTAAAAGAGGAAAACATACAGATTAAGAAAGAATTAAGGGAAATACGAGACAACATAGAAATTATAGAAAAACAGAGAAGGCGAAATAATGTGGTAATGAACGGGCTAGCAATTGATACGCAGAATCAGCTGGTATTGAAGGAAGCAATTGGCAATTTTATAAAAGATCACCTTGCAGTAGAGGCCAAAATAAAGGCGGCCCACAAACTAGGTCCAAAAACGTGCCTAATTGAAATGGAGAACCAACAAGAAAAGATAAAAGTTATGAAGAATAAAGCAAAGTTAAAGGACGTCAAAAAGGAAAAGGTATACATCAACGATGACACAACGGTGAGAGAGAGAGAGAAATTCAAAAAATAATAAGAAAATTGCACAAGAGGAAAGAAACAAAGGAAACGAAGTCAAAATAGGAGCAAGGAAAATGATGATAAATGGTGTTGAATGGAAGTGGAATAGCAAGGAAGATAAAATGGAAATAACAAACTCAAAAAACTAGAAAACGGCTATGATAGTAAAAATACGAAGACGAACAACGCAAGGAACAAGGACATGAATACCGGTAACATTGTCATAGGAAAGGGTGATTTAAAGATTAAAAATACAAAAAAAGACAATAGAAACACATATCCAAAAGATCACTTAATGGTAGGAACGTGGAACGTAAGGGGTACTTTTGAGGAAGGAAAACTGAAACACTTAACTAAAGAAATTGAAAAGTTTAAATTTGACGTAGTGGCACTACAAGAAACAAAGCAACTGGGTCAGGAAATGCTGGAAATTGAAAATAGCTTATTTTTTAATAGTGGAGGCAGAAACAGAATATTAGGCACAGGATTTTTGGTAAATAAAGCGTTAAAAGCATCAATTGTAGACTTTAAACCAATATCTGATCGTCTTTGTTGTCTAAGAATAAGAGGAAAATATCAAAAAATCACATTCATTAACATTCACTCACCGTCAGAAGAAAAAGATATTGAAGTAAAAGAGGATTTCTACTGTGAAGTTAATAGGGTATTTGAAAGTATTCAAGATATGACATAAAGTAGTACTGGGGGACGCAAATGCAAGATAGGAAAGAAGAAATATATAGAACAATATAGGAAAATTTAGCAAACACGAGGAAACTAATGAGAACGGGCAGTTTTTGATAGATTTTGCCAAAGAAAAAATATGCTAATAATGAGTACATATTTCGAGAGAAAAAGCATCTACAAAGCAACATGGCGATCCCCAGATGGAAAAACATTAAATCAAATTGACCATGTACTAATAGAGAGAGAAGACCGAAAATGTATAAAGAACGTGCGAACATACAGAGGACCAGACGCTGACTCGGATCACTTCATGTTAGGAATTAAAATGGCTCAACTGATACCGGAAGAAAAAAATCGCAAAAGAAAAAATAAGAACACAAATAAACCAGTGCGGCTTGTAACGCAAGAAGAACAAGAAATGTATAGAAAAGGTATCGATAGAAAATTAAATGAAATACACCTAGAAGGGCACATAGACAAGGACTGGGACAAAATTCAGCAGATTATCAGTAACACAGCTAAAGAATGCAATAAAAAATATAACTAAAAAGAAAAAGGATTGGTTTGACGAAGAATGCCAGAAGGAAATTGAAGAAAGAAGTAAACTAAGGATGGATATGATCAAAAGTGATACGGAAGAAACAAGAAACAGATATGAAAAACAAAGAAAAATCGTTAAAAAAAGTTTTGAGAATGAAAAAGAGAAAGTACATGGAAAATCAGCTGAAAGAAATAGAAGAAAATTACAAAAATAGAGAAATTAGAAATTTATACCAGGGAGTAAAAAATGAAAAAAGAGGATACCAACAAAAAACAATATTTTACAAAATTAAAGAGGGAAACGCCATTAGTGGAGAAAATGAAATAGCCGCTAGATGGAAAGAATACTTCGATGAATTGCTAAATGACGAAAACAGGATAGAACAGCAACAGCCTATAAGAACGGAGAAAATAGGAACCAAATAATGAGACAGAAGAAACACCCCCACCAGAAACGAGATAAAGGAAATAATGAAGAAATTAAAAAATAACAAGAGTCCAGGAAGTGAATATATAATATAGAGACAGACCTAGAAACACTGGGAATAGAAAGATGGAAGGACAAGGCTAATAATAGGAAGAAATGGAAAACAATAACAGCTCAAAGCCATGGGCCTACTAGGCTCGGAGTGCTAATATATATATATATATATATATATATATATATATATATATATATATATATATATATATATATATATTATATTATATATATATATATATATATATATATATATATATAATATAATATATATATATACAGGTCTATAGATATATACATGGGTTGATTCGTATTGTCAGCTTCAGTTGAATTTCTGTACAGTTTTTGTCATTTCTGAAATGGCTTACACTGTAAACAAGTATTCGTGGTAGTTTTCTTAGCGCTGTTTTATTTTGATTAGTAACCGGTATTATTTTTGTTCGATAATGTAATCATATAACATTATTTGTCTGTTTCTACATTTTTTCTTATTTTACTGCATTTGGTAGTTTTACTTGCCACGAGTTTTTTTGTCTACGCATTCGCAGTTTCCAGTTCGTAATAGCTTGTTAATGACAGTCTGTAATCTTGTTGGCTATTTCTACTATTTATATTGGTGTTATGTGGTACGTTTTTTCGATGTACACATTGTTCTTGATTTGGGAGAAATATCATATTGATGGAAGATGTGTGGGTTGGTTTATTAGCATATTGTACATACCTGTATTTGTGAGGACATCTGTGGGTAACCCTGTACATTGTTAATATGCAGTAGGTGGCCCTGTGTGTTTGAATTCGAGAATAACAATTTATTTGGTTCGGTGGATACTAGGTTGGCATTGGCTGGCTGTTTATATTTTGCATGTGTTAGCTAATTATATAATTGTCAAATCCTGGTACATTCCTCTTTGGAAACGTTATACATAAATTAGTAAATCGATTTTAAATTTACAAAAATTTGATAAGTCTATTGTTTTTAAGTTTAAGTTTGTTATTAATTAATTCGAGACACCTGTCGCACGTTGATAAATAAACATTTTAATCGTCCGCTTAGTTTGAAGTCTCGATATGAGCTTTATAAAATATAAAGTTACAAAAATATATGTTACCTTTTTTGCTATATGTATTAATTATATCCATTTACAGAAACGCCAACGATATGGACAAAATAAGAAGAATGACAGGAGTTTGCCCGCAGCATGATATCCTGTTCGACGATCTAACGCCAAGAGAACACTTGGAATTCTTTGCTGCTATAAAAGGAATACCGAATAGAAAGTCCGCAATCGACAAGATAATAAGAGAAATAGATTTAGTTGACAAAATTGACACAGCGAGTAGAAGCTTAAGTGGGGGACAGAAAAGGAAACTATCCATTGGTATTGCTCTCATTGGTGATCCAAAAGTAAGAATAATACAATTTATATTTTAAACACGAAAACTGTTAAGGGTCCTAAAACATTTTCTTGTGAAATTTTTTTGTTATTTACTAGACATTATATACGTTAAAGTAGATGACTTTAAAAGGATATTTTTAATCATTTTGCGGTGCGTTCCTGAAATGAATTTATTGGAATGAATTTATTGCAGATTAAGTCTATTGGTTACAGAAATTAACTTTCTGGCTAGTAGTTCCATTCTAAATCAAGAGGAAAAGCAGAAAAAAACTCATGATACATGCCTGACTTACTTTTAAATTTAGTTTACGCTTAATAATAACATTAAGTTTTATTTTATATGAATTTGATATTTAATCTTGGCTTTCTATATTGTTAATGAAATATTGATCACGATTTGCTATTATTTTATTTCATTTGCGTCGACTATAACCAGTTGTCCTTTCTACTTTTTCTGTACATCCTTAAATAAGCGACAACATCAAAGGACAACTGGAATGTATTCGTGTTTTACATAAATGAAAATTTAAATTTAAATGTAAGATTAAAGCAACCAGACGATATCGATAATGCTTTGCTTCTTCTCACCCAAACTATAACATGCAGCCGCAGAAATAGCTACACCCCCTCAGAATGATAAAGAACTGAGTGACAACCAATATACCCGTATATATAAAACGATCTTATTGCATCAAAAAAGAAGAGCCAGGCGCATATGGCAAAGAAGTCGCAATCCTATAGACAAAAACGAATACAATAGATTAACACGGCAACTTAAAAAAGTCGCGAGGAATTATACATTTGAAACTATTCATCAATAGCCTGTCAAAAGAAGACCACAGCATCTGGAAAGCAACGAAATCATTCAAGAGGCCTACACAGCACATACCACCTCTAAAGAAAGAGGATGGAAGCTGGGAAAAACTGAACAAGCAAAAGGCATCAATCTTTGCTGCACATCTCTCACACGTTTTTGGTGCACCTGAACTTAATAACCATAATAACGAAGAACAAGTTAAAAACTTCTTAGACACTCGATGCCCAATAATGCTTACCAATCAAATGCTTTACTCCTAATAAATGTAAAAGAACAAATTTCTAGATGCAATAACTACAAGGCACCAGGATTCGACATGATCACCGGACTAATATTAAAAAAATTACCGAGAAAAGCAATTGTCCTACTAACAATGATATATAATAGTATCATAAGATTAGCCTACCACCCGATTAATTGGAAGTTTCGCACAAATAATTATGATAAGTAAACCAAATAAACCACCAAATATCTATTACTTCATATAGACTAATCAGCTTACTTCCAATAATGTCAAAATCTTAGAAAGACTTCTGCTCCAAAGAATCTCAGAAGACATCGAAATTAATTCAGTGATTCCCAAACCACCAGTTTGGTTTCCACGAAGCCCATTCAACTCTACAACAGTGTCATAGGATTGTAAAAAACATTAATGTATGCCTCGAAGAGAAAAACATTTGCACTGTTGCCTTCCTGGATATAGAACAAGCCTTCGATCGTGTTTGGCATGACGGCCTTCTACATAAACTTAAGTCATCCTTTCCCACCCCTCACTATCTACTTTTAAAATCATACCTCACAGAACGTTACTTTCAAGTCAGATTCCTTACAGAAACCTCTCATTACTATCTCATAAAATCCGGTGGCCCCCAAGGAAGTGTCCTGGGTCCCCTCCTGTACCTCATATACACTGCTGATATCCCAACAACAAATACAACCACAGTAGTCATGTTCGAAGATGACACCGCCATAATATCCATCGATGATGACCCCCAAGTAGCACCAGAAAACCTTTAAATACACCCGAACCTAGTACAAGACTGGATGAATAGATAAAAAACCAAAGTTAACCATAATAAGTCTAATCAAATTACATTCACCAATAGGAACATCATATGTCCCAGAATCAGACTGAACAATATACTTCTACCAGTAAAAACAGAAGTCAAATACCTGGGAATGACACTTGATCAAAGGCTTACTTGGAAAGGTCACATTTTGGCAAAGAAAATCCAAATCAACATGAAAATACGTCAAATGAATTGGTTAATAGGCCGAAAATCACAGTTATTAACAGATAATAAACTTCTATTGTATAAGTGTATAATAAAGCCTATATGGACATATGGAGTGCAACTATGGGGCTGTGCAAAGCCTTCTAATACCAAAATCATTCAGAGAATCCAATCCAAAATACTCAGAATGATTTTCAACGCACCGTGGTACGTTAGTAACTAAACACTGCATGATGACTCTGGTATACCGTTCGTTGAAGACGAAATCAGCAGACTAACAAGAAATTATTTAGAACATCTGCCAACTCACCAAAACGAGGAAGCAAGACAACTACACCTACAACCAGAAGTCAGACGAGGATTAAAGAGACAGTGGCCAACAGACCTTATACACTAATTTCAATTTTAATTTCAATTTTCATTTCAATTTTAGTTTTAAATTATAATCCCACATTAATTTAATTTTTTAGTGTTAGTATTGGGAGTTTTATCAATGGATTTGATGTTTCTCTTCTCATGTGTTTGTAATAATCACATTTACTAATAGCTTGTAATAGCAGATTGTAAATTTGCAAATTTAATCAAAAAAAAATCCTTAAATAAGCACGCTATTTAAGCTTGTCTTTTTAAGTTTGAAATGATTCTGTATAATTACTTTCCTTATTGTATTGGCATTGTATTTGTTTTCTATATAATCGTCATTATTATCTTTGTTTTCTGTGCATACGGGGTCTACCTCCCTAATTTCTCCGTAAACTTCTACCTTAAATCGAACTATTATTAATCCCTTTTACCGACATGTCATGTCTAAGCGTCTCCCCAGGTCTTTTTTGGTTTGCTGCTCTCACTTCTTCATGAAACTTTAAAATCAGCAGTTATTTGTATTGAGTAATAAGTTGACTTACTCCCTTTTAAAAGACTGTGTTAGCAACCGTCATATCTAAGGCTGTTAATATTTACAGCATATCATCCAAACCTTCATTTATAGTTTCAAAGTCCTCCTCAATGATTTGCTTCATATCCTCTATTAGATTGGTTCACATGTGCGTCTTATCTCCAATTGTGATTTTCTTTTCTGAGGGAATATAATTCAGTATGTTTCCTAATTAATCATAGGAAGCTTTAATTTTATCAAATTATCATATTCCTCAACCCAGACCGGTTTGAGGAGCATATCCACATAACATTTTAACAGTTCTTTATTAAGTAAGTTTACTGTTATCATTCTATATCTCACTCATATCTCATATATCCACTGTTAATCTTTTTTATCTACAATTATACTACTCCATTTCTAGTTTTACTTTTCCACAATTTATATACTTCACTTTTCTATTCTGATTTTTCTAATCTCTAATAGTGTACATCCTGAACTAGTCCTTACTCGGAATCGGAGTCTCAGTTTGCGGAACATTTTACTTTAATTGCTGCGATAATTTTAATAAAATTTTTTTTATTAAAAAAGAAGTTTTTTAGTATTATGACCTTAAAAGATGTTTGGACATTTTATGCCTAAATACATTTTCTGTTACTAGCTTGTCCTGGGCGCCGCGTGATATATATTATTTATAAAACATAAATATATACTGGCCATATAAGGCAGTGGATTGTTGTCTGTATGCTGCCACTAGAAGGCACGTTATTTATAAAAAATACCTGCTTGTTATCTGATTAAATTTGTATATTGTATTTATATGCAATTATTGCAATTAGCAAAACAGTTGTTAATCAGAATATATACTCCAGTCTCCAGAGACGAAAATGCTACTGAACCTCCAAAAATTCTACGTTCAAGCTAAATTTTGCTGTCAGTCATGTCAGTTTTGGGACCCAAAAAATTTTGTAAAGCAATATATCCAATGAAAGTGTTGCAGCTAATGAAATCAGTTTTTATAAAGGTGTTAAATAAATAAACATTGCGCTTTTTTGGCTACTTTTTATTATTCTCATGAGATCAATTAAATTAATCGCTTTTCATATCAATAAATAAAATAAAAATCAATAACATTTCAGTTTTAAGTTTTGGCAAAAGTTTCAGGCATTAGAAATATGCCTAAAGAACGCTGAAATTAAAATTTCACATAACAAACAATATAAATGTTTAAAACAGCACATTTTCGATAATTACACAAGTACGTTTTTTAAAACTAATGACTAATTGAACTAACTAACTCTTTATAAAATCTGACTTAATTTTTGGCAAACATACAAACAGCTGCTCTCTTCGCCTTTAAAACGCATTTTGTTTTTTGTCTATAAGACACTCAGTTCAAAAGATATCGAATTTGATGCAAATTATGATATTTAACATTTATTTGGCGCTAGTAACTGACACAAAATCGCCGCGGCCGCGCCGGTCGCTTCAAACGTTGCTTCTGAGAGAACAGTTCATTGTACACAATAAGTTCCAATCAATATTTTATTCAAAACTATCTCACCTACATTTTTTATTTAAAAAAGTTTTGTCTACGTCGTACAGATTCTTGGGAGATCGATTTTTTCCATTTCCCCCTACGAGGAGGCTTTTTAAAGAGAAGGCGGGGGGGCAGAAATGGTAAACTTTTTTCATTTTTTTTTGAGTCCCAAAATTGCCACTCTCAGCAAAATTCAGCTTTTTCATTATGGTTTTTAGAGGTCAAATCTCTGACGACTAAACTATACTTCATTTCAGATGTCCGTGCAGTAAAGGACGTACCTGCTGCTATATTCCCACCCACGTACATTTTACACTTGTAAATAGAACCATTATAAGCTCACTAACTATTCTCCAAGATACTCTTTAAAACCCTTATTACTATGGAGCCTATTAAATACTGGTTTTGAAACAGAAATTGCACATTACTTTACTGCACGGACATCTAAAATGAAGTATAATAATATATTTTGGTTTTTATTTCATTTCTGCAATAGACAATAATGCGAATGTGGTAATTTATAAATCTCCACTAAATAAAACCAACTTAACAGAATTGTAGTGAAGATTTTCACTATAATTAGCTAGATCCATTTTATCTTTAATTTGTTGTACAAACTTCACTAATACGTTTCAGTTACAGTTCAGTTTTTCTCAGTTCGGTATATATTCACTATTTGGATTATTTTAGTTTAAATAGACTTTTACTATTGAACTAACATACTAAAAATCTTTTTACAGATTGTTATACTTGATGAACCAACGGCTGGTGTCGATCCCACATTCAAGACGACATT